ATCTTTTGAAAAAAGCCTAAAGGAGATTCAATGCTTTATAGAAAAATGCTAAGATGCTAAAGCAATTCCAAATATACATTTAATAGATGAAAAATTAAGCTCCTTGTATGGGTCCCAAAGCACTGAATAGGAGAAATGGACAGTGCAAATATGCTGTCTCTCTTTTCTGGGCTTCTGAAGGTGAAAAAACCCCAATTCTTCTATGCCTACAGATCAGTCATGGAATGAGCTGAAAATGTGCTTTTCCTTCTGCTGACAACTATGCACCAAGATCAAAAACAAATTTTAAAACACCAAAAATTTGAAAATTGCCTCAGCTGATGCTGTTGAGCCAAACCAACATCCATTTCAACTTCTTATCAAATCAGCTGAGTGCCATTTCATTGTAGGTTAATTGAGATCAAATTTACTTGACTATAAATGCTTTCTTTTAATGCTCTTTCCAATGAAAATACCTAGCATAGCATGTCACCTACAAATAAAGCTATTTAAAAAGACATTTCTGCTTACTGTCATTGCATCCACCAAGAAGTTCAAAGTCTAGCAATACTGAGAAACAGAAAACATTGGTCTAAATTTATGGCTACCCTATAAGTAAATCATTTGATGTGTGTCTGTTGAAGTGTTATCTTGGAGTACTTTTGACAACTCAAGTAGTTTTCATGAATAGGAAAAATCTAAAGAGCACTTTTATGGATGCTATCTTTGGAGCAGGCTGCAGGCCCCATGGCCTCTCAGTCTTGCCTGAGAGCTAGCCTGAGAAATTCATAGGAGGATTTCAAAACAATCCTCAGAGACAGAAAACAACTGCCAGGTGCTGTTTGTCTGTCCTCTTGTTTTCCTTGCAGGAGAAAGTCAGGAGGTGGTGTACACCACTGACCAATGATGTTGATGTAGCAGGTAACTAACCAGTAAGAGTTTCCTTTCTGTACTTTCTACAGAATGAGTCTAGACAAGCCTAGAGTAATAAACTAAGGAATTCTCCTGTTCTGAGTCCCTTGAGAGTCTGTGTCGTTCTTTTTGCCGTTCCCAATTAGAACAACACACTTTATCAGGCTAATACTAATGTTTTGGGTTTTTTTTTGAAGATCAAACCAAATCAAAATTAGTGGATACAATGAACCTTGTTTATTACTACCTCTGCCTAAATATGGCAATACTCAGACATCTTGAAGTATGACTGAGCATGCAGGTAAATTACTCAATGAAGACAAGAATATAAAAACCCAACTTCAGGGTGCATGTCCACACAGATAACCCAATTTTGAATCAGAGAGGACTTAGTTCAATTTGGTCATCTGACTTTTCTGTTTCATGGCACAACGAATTTACTGTTGCATTGTTGACCTGAGATCTGCCTTTGCCTCTTTTTTACTTTTATATAACAGAAGTCATTTTCTTTCCTCTCTTATGTCCAATTATTAGATCTCTGGACAATTGCATTTCTCTTCAGTGTAGCTTAGAATTAAACTGCTGTAATTGAAGGAAATGGAGCTACAACACAGCGTACTGCTAACAGCTCCAAGTCAGGAACCAGCTCCATCCATTCAAACACACATTCCTTCAAAAGCCTCCAGATTCGAGCTCTGATGAAACCTTGCAAGACTAAATGCAGCAGTTTGTTAACATGCCAGTTATTATCCAAGAAAATTGCTTTCTTTGGGTGTGTGCACAACCTGCTCCTCTCTCCATCAGCTCACCACTGAAATCATGACATTTGCACCTAAACATCCACCAGATGGTGGCCTGAGAAGTACAAGGCCTTGCATCCCAAGCAGCGACTGTTTCTTTTCCCTGTACAACACACACTTTATTGGCCACAATGATTATTCAATTATTATTCAATTTTTATTTATTGGCCACAAGAACTCCAAAGCCCATGGCTTTAGCACATTTCCCCTAAAACAGTGGCTATGGTGTGATGAAAAGAACGAACTTCTGAATGCTCAAACCAAGAGCCTTATTTCCACCTGTTAAACAACATCTCTATCCATCAGCACAGTCCAACACAGAAGAGCACACAGACTAGATTTAAATCAATCAAAACTTTATTTATAACTGAACGCAGTAAAAATGAAACTATGTACAAAAAGAACTATATACATAAAGAAACAGGCCTCTACACCTCCTCTTCTCCAAGATGCACCTGAGACTGCCCTGAGCAGTGGAAACTCTCATAAATAAATTGGAAAATACATTTCTGCATCGAGTTCCTCTCTGCAGGTTGGGCACATGCCGGTGGTCTCCAGGGCAACGGGGAGGCACGCGCTGCAGAACATGTGGCCACACATAGTTGCCACCATCAGTCGTCCACTTTGCACAATCTGGAAGAAAGAAAACAACAACCACATGTATTGGGAGGAAAGAATTGGAGTTTGCTGCTCTATTGGCACCAGGAAAATGAGACTTGAGAGCATCGGGAATCAGTTAGAACAATGAGGAACCCACACATCTGCCAGTGTCATCCTGGCCACAGTCAGGCCTCCCTGGCCATAATCCTGGCAAGGGCTTGTCCCTCTCCATTCACCAGCAAGAAGGGACTTGTGGAGCTTCCCAGCAAGGGCTGTGCTTCCAGCCAGCTGCCCACATCAGCCAGCTGACTTGGGCACTTCCCCTTTTGGCTTCTTCCTCCTCCCACAAAACACAAAGCATGACAAGAGGTGCATCCTTACCTCTGAGTAATAATCCATGCAAATTGGACAACTAATAACAACTCCTGGCTCTGCACTAGAGAGAACAGAAGCAGAAAGAATGTGCAGCTGTTAATATCACTACACTTCAATGGTAATTGATACCTAAAATCTCACCTAATCATGACACTGCACTGACTAGCCCTGGCCCATTTCCTTTGAAGAAGCCTGCTGTCTTTAACTCTCTGTTTCCTGCATTTATTGAGGATTTGGGGTCTCCCTGCCTTGAGGGAAAGAGCATCCTGGTTTTCACTAGGAGAAAGGTGCAGTCAGACACCCTGCTCTGGCATTTGAAGTAAGAGCAGTCTCTAGTGCTGGCCAGTTGGTGTTTGGAAACTTTGACTTGCAGCGGCTCATCAGGAACAGCTTTGGAACTACAGCATCCAGCTGTCCTCTGGGAACTATTCAGCCCGGAATATTCATTCCAGGAGCCAGTTCTAATGCTATAGAGTAACATGGCTCTGGCAAGATCCAGCCCCAGGAAGGAGCCTTTGGTCAGTGCTGAATATTGCAGCACTGAGTTCTTTCAGAGCAGTTCCATTCTGGAACAGAGAACTGAAGGAACAAAGTATTCCTTTTCTATATGAACCAAGTGGTGGGATTTGTTCACCTACAGACACAACAACCAAAACTTAAACATGTCCAAATTCATTGGCAAATGGCATTAGGGTTAAGAATAGTGAAGGTCCTTTAGGTGGCATATTTAAGACTCGACACCTAAAAGTTCCATACTCAACTTCTCTCCTACATTGCCTTTCCCAAAGGCTCAAAACCACCAGCTTTGTTTAAATCTATGCCTTTCTCTTTCACCCCCAAAAAACACTTTAGAAAACCTTCCTTCATGATTCTCATGTTCTTTGTTCTCCCTAGTGGCAGACACCTGGTTTAATTTAATCAGCCTAATGCATTGCATCTTTCTTATTCTGCTGGAGCGCTCCTAGAGCAGGACTTTGCTGTCTCTCTGCAGAACGGGGATTTTACTGTGCAGGCAGCCAACTTGAACTGCAAGATCTCCATGCCAGAAGCAAAGAAATCAGGGCTTGTGACATCCGGCACTGGCCATAAAAGCAGGACCTCCACAGCTGCCTGTGTGCAAGTGTACCTTGGGAAGAATGGCTCCAGCTGCAGGAGAAAGGGAGCCAGCTGGCAGCATTCCAGCAGGGAATTTCAGCTGGAATTTGCCCAGCTGCTGCCTGCTGGCCCCATGATGCCAAGCCTCATCCTTGAGGCTGACTGAAGTGATGGGGAGAGTGGCACTGGGAAATCACTTTTCCCATGAAATGGCCAAGACTGTCCCAATACAAAGTGTGGTGCTCAGTCTCTCCTTACCTGATGAGAACTCCTGTGGCCTCAGAAACTCAGCACACTCTTCCTTGTTGCCAGCAAGTGAACAGGCTCCTACTGCTTGTACTTAACAACAGCCTTACTGATGAGCGCACCTGACTGTCTGACCCCAGCCTGTTCTCCAGAGAAAGCTTTAACAGTACAGTGCCCCCAAAACCACAAAATTACAAGTGACTAGAGAACGTCTGTGGTGAACACCATCAGTAATTGCTCAGAGATACTGGAGCCAGCAAAGGCTGCT